CAATCGGGGGCATGTGATGGATCGCCTGGAGCAGGACACTCCTGATTCCTTTTCCCCAGCTAACACTGGGATTTGGAGGGTGACTTTGAATAGGCACTGGCACAAGGGTGGTCACGGACACAGACAGTGTGTGATCACCCATACAGGTGATCACAGGGTGCACTATGGTGGCAGGTGATCACATTATTAGGCATGTAAATGGCTGAATACCAGAGAAGATACTTAATCTTGGCAAAGGCAAAGGAGGTGGACCTCCTAAGACATTTGGATGTGGTCCTAAGAAATATAAGGAAAGGTGGTCCCAGAGGGCTGACTGAAGACCTTGTCTTCTCCAGGCAGTGAAACAGCAGATGAAATTGCATAAAACAAACATAACATGATCCATTGGGGAAACCACAATAGTCATTTTAGATAGGCAGCAGTGGTCTCTGTGTTGGCTAATGCCACTTAGGAATAATCCATCTCTAACAGAGTACAGTAGACCCCAAAAAACCCCCAAACCTAAGCCACAGAGAAGGTCAGCAAGGATGAGCCAAGGTCCAGCCTGGCTGCTGCATGAAGAATAACTACATAGACTGCGACTCTTCAGCCTGGGAGAATGAACGGAGGTGCCATGACTGAGGCATACACAGCTGTGAGGGACGAGGAGAACAAGACCAGGGGCATCGAGTGAAATTAGCAGGAGGTAAAGTCAGTAAAAGGGAGATGCTTCCTCCCTCCTCTTGGCATTAAGCTGCTCCCACACAAATGTGTCCTGTGCTGCTAAAATCTCCTGAGGTTTATGCAGGATGAAGACACTACCTTTGGCTCAAGAAGCGTTTGAGCGACATAAGAATATTCAGTGTGCATGCCCTGATCTCACACCCTTCACTGCGCCCTGGCTGCTGCCCAAATGTGGGAGGGAGGATGCTGGGCCGGGAGGATGCAATGTAGCATTCTCCTGCTCCCATCCCTTTCTCTGGAAGGAGGAGGAGGACTTTCAGGTCCCACAGCTTCAGGAAACCTGAATTCAAGCCCCAGCATATGAATTAGACATTATTTCATCATGAGCCCAATCTCTTGGCATGTTGATCTGATAGAACAGAGCCCAGCCCACCTGAGAAGGGTGTCCAGAACAGGTAGGTCTCTGCTTTGGGCCTGGAACTATGTCTGGTTGCAGAGTCCCAAATACAGGAAAGCCACTGATTTACTGGAATGAGTCCAGTGAAGGCCACCAAAAAGATTGAGGGAGTTCAGGCACCTGACATAGGAGGAGAGGGTGAGAGAAGCTGGGTTTCAGGCTTCAGGGGAGAGCTAAACAGAGACCTCCTCATTTCCTTCACTACCTCACAGGAAGGTACAGACTCAGAGATGCAGAGTGATGGACTGAGAGGCCAAAATGCAAGTGGCAAGGAGGACAGTTCCAATTAGATCTTAGGAAAATTAGTTGGCCTGTGACAGAGATCAAACAGTACCACAGGGTCCCAGAGAAATGGGCAATCTCCATCCTGTGAGACAGTGGAGGGGACAAGGTGCTGAGCAGATGATTGACGTCCTTCTTGGAGTGGGGGGGGCTAGACCAGAGACCCCCAGGGGTCCCTTCCCACCCTGGTTACAACGTGGTTCAGTGCCTCACCCCAGCAGTGGAGGGAAACCTGGATGGTGAGCGCAGGTTTAGCTCAGATGTGACGAGATAAAGCCTGCTGTGGTGTTTGATCCTCCCCCCAGACACACGGGGGTTGTATTCTTTTCTGCCCTTTCAGGCTCTGAATGGTTCTTGTGCCTATCCCTGCTGGGACAGCTTCCTCTCACATCTGCTCTCCTGTCATTCTGCTCACAGAGAGTGACAGTGCCCTCTGCTCCCGTCTCACTTTGGAAACATGTTTAGCTGCTGAAGCCTAAGCCAGCCAGCCACAAGGATTCAGTCCTTGTTAGCAAAGCTTTCCTCCTCTGCCTGCAAATCCAGCACTGACTCACAGCACGTCGCAGATGTTTTCTCACTCCTCTCGCACAATTTATCCTTTCCTTTCCCACCCTGCGCCCATAAGTTCCTCCCTTTCTAAAATCACAGGCTTTTTCCTGCACTCTGACAACAAGCTCTCACCCCTGGTTCTTCCCCAGATATTCACACAGACCGTGCCAGGGCAGGGCTCTGCTATAGAGGACAAATATGACAGACTTTTTGAGCAGGTATTTGCAGAAGGATTCTCTCTCTGAAGCCTGGAGAAACAGTCTACAGGGAATGCAGCAACCTCCAGCTGTTTGAAGAGATGCTGCATCAATCAGAATTGTCATCTTTAGCTCTAGGAAAGTGCTGGGGTTAATTTAATGATCATTTTTATTAGCTGCCTGTGCTGCATGGATAATAACTCTGCAGCACAGGTGTGGCACGGAGCTGCTGGCACATATTCAGCCAGAACCTTCATTTGCAATCATTCATAGGTTTTAAACCTGCAAGTGTATATTTCCAAATGCCTGGCTGGACCCCTAAGAAATCAGGAAAAAGTCCATGTGATCTCAGACAGCTGGGGAGATGAGCTAGGCATCACCTTTTCTGTATTCATGAAAGGAAAAGACCAGTCCTGGTTGGAGCAGGGGTTACTCAGTATCACATTGGATGGACAGGGTGTAGCAGGTTTTCTTGCTTTTGCAGCATAACTGTCCCATCCTGCACAGAGGAAAGGACATGGAGAGAGAAAATCCTTCCTGCATTTACCAGTTGTGTTGGGTTGGCTTTTTCCTACCACCTTCTTCCCCATCCGTTCTAAGAGAAAAGCGGCAGGGAGAGGGACATCCTTCAGCCTTGTTTAGTCCCTCGGACCCTTGCATGGCCCAGCCCTGCCCTGTGGAGGTGACCAATGACCACTCTCAGCCACAACTGCTTCTCTCTGCCATCCTGATGATCTGTTTGTGCCCTTCCATGCTGCCACTTAGGAGAGACATCCCTGATGGCCTCGCTTTTCCTTGGTCAGCCCATAAGCACTGCTACAGCCCCAGGGGAGAGAAATTTCAGCAGAGAAGTGAGAGCCCCTCACAACCTCTCCTCTAGCTGGTCCATGGTCCCCCCTCATGCTCAGAAGTCCTGGTCCCCATCACTCCTGGCTCTGTGGGGACTTGCTTCCTAGGACTATTGGGGAGAAGCCAGCCTGGTGGGAATTTCTCTGCCCTGGGAGTAGGAATCTTGTCACCCCAAGTCCTGAGCCCAGACCTGCTTCCATCCTCCTAGGCTTTGTGTCAGTCTCGCTGCCTGGTCACTGCAAAGTTCTTTGGGAATGACAGTCAATCACTCCCTGGCCACCCTCTGTCCTCTCCATCCACCATTTCCAGCTCATTTCCTTGTAGTCTTGCTGCCTCTTGAAAGGTGAAGAGTTCTGGGTTAACAAGTCTGACCTTGCCCTAACCTTGTAAGTGCAAGTCACGGCACAGCGCTGGAGTCCTGACGCCCCACTGTGTCCCTTCCCTCCCAGAGGGGCTTGTGCAACCTCTGGCACTGCCGGCACCACTTCCCCTGGGGCCCTCGTGATGCCTGGCCCAGCTGGTGGGGACTTCTTGGAGGAGGAGGCAGGTTCTATGTGCCCACCCACAAAGCAGCACTGGGCCCAACATGAGCCTTTCTGTCCGTGGCTCCCAGGAGAGAGGTGAGAGCGGCTGTGGGGTGTGAGGGTGGTGGGCTGAGTGGGAGTGGGGAGGGGGTGAGAGTGGCTGTGGGGATGAGAGCAAGGGTGGTCATGGGAACAGGGGCAAGAACACCTGTGGGGATGAGGCAAGGACATCTGTGGGGAAGGGCTAAGGACACCATTGGGGATGTGGGTGAGGACGGCTGTGGGGATGGGGGTGAGGTCACCTGTGGGGAAAGGACAAGGACACCTGTGGGGAAGGGGCTGAGGACACTGGTGAGGAGGGAGGTAAGGACACCCGTGGGGATATGGGTGAATACACCTGTAAGGGAGGAAGGGCACTGTGGGGAGGAGGGGAGGACACTCTTGGGGAGAGGGGCAAGGTCACCACTGGGGATATCCACACCTGTAAGGAGTGGAGGGGGCACCATGGGAAGGAGGGAGGAAACCCATGGGTAAGGAGTTGAGGTCACCAGTGGGGATAGGGGCAAGGACACCTGTGGGGATGAGGTAACTGGTGGGGTTGAAAACACTCGTGTAGAGGGGGCTGAGGACACCCGTAGGGATATGGACAAGTACACCTGTAAGGGGAACACCTGTGGGAATGAGAGGAAGGTCAACAGTGGTGGTGGAGATGAGGTCACCTCTAAGGAGTGTGCGAGAGGGGCACCGCGGGAAGGAGAGGAGGACACCCATAGGGAGCGGATATGTTCAAATACACCTGTAAGGCGGCG